TCGTTCAGTCGTATTATTTGTACTAATTTTAAATCCAATGTAGGTTTAATATTTTAATCACGGGCTCGCGGTGTAAAATTTTTGATTTTTTATAACAATGTTGTCCAATAAAACTGTCTTGGACGGTAACAATTAAAAATCACTCGACCTGCACGAGGGTCATATCTGAACTGTCATATTTGTTGACGACAAATGAATAATCTGAGAAATATATTTTGTGATTCCTATACCAAACGGTTTGACGGTCAAATTGAAATAACCAATTTCAATAGGATATTGTAATTGTGAAAAGGAATCAACGACAACTATTAAACATAAAACACAATTGGTAACTTCTATTAATACACGTCACGAACAATAGTAGTACGTTTAATTTTTTACAATTGGTAATAATTTGTTACACAATATTACACACAAAGGTGAAACGCTTTATTCAATTTCCCAGTCTTCGACTACGTAAATATTTTATTCTTGCAGCAGATAGTGTTCGATAACATGATAACATGATTAATATGTGAAACAAATTATTAGAGTTATTTGGTTAGCAACAGTGGATAGAGGTTAATAATATTCCGTTAAACTGGTTTTGTAGTGATTACTTTTTTTTTAAACAATTTCATTGAATTTTATTGATCAGTATAAGTAAAAGTTTCAAAGTATGACAATTTTATAGATCAAATGATACAAATTAATGTATTTCGACCAAGTGGCTTAGTTCTTTCCGAAAAATCAATAATTAATTATCTGATAAAAATGTATTATAAGTGTAAGACAACAATATAATATTATTGTTAATACTATTATAGTGTTGTACTTTCTCAATCAAAAATAAGGAATAGACATATTTATTTCGATGAAATAATTGATTTTGAGTGTTAGGATTAATACTAATATTAATTACTCTCGTGCATTTTTTAACGCCATATAAAAAATCCTAAACGTCCAGATTAAGTAAAACAAGTTTTTATAAACAACGTCATTTTTAAATTCTTTGAGATATAACTGATATTGGTTACACTTCCTACTCAAAGTAAATCAAATTTCTGCGTTTCACTAGATGACTAGACATAAATTCAATTCAATATAATTTATACATTTTATCTTTGTTTACTAATACTGAGTTATAATTAAAAGTTATTACTCATGGTTCTACAATACTTAATTCAATAAATTAAATTTTTTTTTCTTTCCCGTAAGTATTTAAATTATAAGACGTCATAGTGAATTATAGTCTGGTTACAATTGATTTCGGATATATATTACTTAATATATTAATAAATAAATAAATGCTTAGCTAGGAATTTTATTATATTTATAATATACGACCGTTTTAGAATTTAAACTTTTTTCTTCAGGTAAATACAAAGTCAATAAAATCGTTTTATTGACCAATGGTGCATTACAAATATAATAATACTCCAGGCTAATCATTTACTTATTTTTTTATTCTTCTGTAAAAACTATTTATTTTAATATTAATCTACGTGTATTAACTATTTACTAATTTTTATTTTATTTTTAATAATTATTAGTACTTGACAGTTTTAAATTTAATTAAATATTTATTTCTTTTTTACATCAAGTCAAATAAAAATGATGTAGAAAATAATAAACACATAAATTAATAATTTTTATTGGCAAATAGTTTTGCGAATAATTCATCTATTCATTAATATAGTTTTCATTGATATTTTGTGTAAATAATAATATCGATATTTTGGGTGGTCACAGAATCGAATATTTTTTTTTAATTGTAATTAAAAATCAAATCATGATACCGTTAAAGAAAATATTGATATTCAAATGTTGTATTGCATTTTTTTTATAGTATAATCGACGGGAAGAAATAATTTAGATCAATTGAATAAACATGTTACTTCACCATAAATAGTTTTGATGATGTAATGCCATTTATTGATAGAATTTTAAGTAATTTTTCTGGAAAATATTTTCATTTTTACGAAGTGTACACAAAAGTTAAATTTATTCATTTCTTTATTTATTGATTTTTTTGAGTTTTTTTAAAGTATCAACAGTATTATAATAAATAATTTTTGAAAAGTTTCTGTTCTTATTATTTTTTTTTTCAAGAAACTTTCAAAACACCAAACTTGAATTAGTAGACTGCTTATGTGAATCACTTGTATATTTTTTTACTTCTGATGTCATACTTGTTTTGTTAGTTATATGACACTTTGTAAGTTGTAAGTGCAGAATCTTGTTTACACTATATTTATCCGAAGATATCAATTAATAATGAAATCGGTTATTTACGGGCAGCATTAGCTTACATATCCCTATATAGGACCCATTGCGTTAATTTAATATATTAAAATTAAAATTAAAATACAAACACAATTTTATTGAAAACCAATAAACAATCAAATAATTTACATTCAGAATTAATTTGCATATCGTTATCTGGGGTTATTAGATATTATTATATAATCAGGCTCCTATTCATTCATAAAATATATTAAGATCAAAATATGATTACAATTTTATAAAAAAACAATTATTTTTAACAATTTGCTTGATTTTCTTCGAATATTGTGCTGTTTTCTTAATTTATCGGAAAAAACATGATTTCATTTTAAATAAAAGTTGTGCTAAAAGTGGTATCATAGTTAAATAATATTATTTTATATAATTATAGACTCTAAAACTAACATTTGTGAATACATTTATATTGAAAATTATTTATAAAAATCGAGTGAATAATTAGTGTGTTACTGGAATGCATGCAGCATTAACTTACTACAATGTTATATATTTATTTGGAACTTATACATACAATATTTTGATTGTATGTATATGGAAAGGTCGGAACTTTTATGGGGAATTCGAGTCAGGTAGAAATCTGGAATTAATTTATATTATCTCTGTTGATAAATCGAAAAATTATGAAAATAATAGTACTACGAAGTTCTATGACTAGTCAAGCATTGATAATGTTCATCACCCGGATAGTATATCATATATAAGTCGTACTGTTATTGTTATATTAAATTGTCCTGGGTATTCTTCGTTAGTAGAAAATAAAATTAAAATTACTAGTATGATATGAATCAAACTAATTAATATCATATTTTTGTATCACAAATAATATTTCTTTATTTTTTAAGAATTTAATTTATTTGTATTACAATTATAATAATGAAATATATTCTAACACTATCAAATTATATAGTATGCAATTAACTTAAAAATATTTCCATCAGTTATATAAATAAAAACGAGAATAATATGATCTGTTGATCGCAGAACAATAGATTTTTAAAGATAGTATAGGAAGCAAAATAGGAAAACAAAATTAATAATATTATTAATCATAAATGGTTTTCACGTCTTTTTATTTTTTACTTTCACATATTTGGTTACAATAAACTACAAATCATGTTTTAATAAATATGTAATGAAATATAAACTACAACATAAAAAAAAAAAAAAAAATGTGAATTAGATTTTACTTAATTATTGACATATAAATTTACTGTACAATATAATTTATTAACACCAACAAGGAACATAAATGTATTATATTTATACATAAATATTTATAATTTTATCAAAGCAGACAAAAAGTCGATATTTATTCACCCCTATAGAATAAACCATTTTTGTGACACATCCACAAAAGAGAATAAGGAATATATTTCTTATAGTAAGCAAACAAAATTTTATATAAAAATTATAAATAAAATACCTTAAAAATGATTACACTTAGTTTTTAAAATTATAATTTTTTTAATATTAAAAGACAGTTTTATATCCTGTAGGTCCGTCTATATGCATACATAGGCTACATTGTCGTGTTCACAATACAGAAAATTTCAAAGGCATTTTAATATTATTTATTTTCTTACTGCCGCTAGCTAACAAAATCAATATTTAAAAACATAGTGTTAACATTTTCTGTTTGAAAAATCACTGAAATATCTATAATAAACGTAAACGTAAAATTAAAATATTAATAATAAAATTGTTCATTCATTTGTTTTTCTTGTTTATTTATATGTACTTATGTATAAAATTCCGCACAGTTTAGGTTAATTTTTCGTTCTTCCTAATACAAGTTTAATTTTATTTTATTTTTTAAAAGTAAAATTTTTAATACCGTTTTAGTTGAAATAGATTGGAACTCAACAAGATATCTGTTTGTATGTGTGTTTTTTTCGTTACAATAAACAATATATTATTTTTATTTTAACTAGGCCTTTCAATAGGATATTTTATTGTGCTACCTGAAGAATACTTTGATATATATTTTTTTTATATAAAACTTAGTACACATTTATATTGCAAATATATTTTATCGTGATTATCGTGATATGCCAAAGAAAACCAAAATTAAATAAATACTTTTGTTTATACACTACTCCCCATTCGATTTTGAAAATAATGTTTTATAAATAAAATATTTGGCTCAACTATGTCCCTTTAATCGATAAATATATCTATTTAACAGAAAATTATTTTTTCATTAAAAATGATATGTGTGAAAAAATACAATTTGAAAATAAAATATTACGATAAAACTTTGAGTAACTTTTAGTTGGGAAACAATAGATAAATATTATGCATTATGGATATGCTGAGTAATTTTTTTTGCATCGCTTTTATCGTTTTTTTTTTCATTATTAATTTAAACATAGTATTATATAGTTAATAAGTTGAATGTTATTGTAAAATTTATTGTCTAATCGTCTTAATATTTTTAAGATTTATGTTAATCGGCTTTTTAAAGAAAACGTATGTGTTATATCTATAAATAGATTAATAAATAAATAACAAGAAATATCTCTATTGTAAATATACTAATACTATCAACTTTACTTTTGGAATATTTGTTTAGATAAGAAAATAATGTCGAGTATTGAAAAAAATGTTCTCATAACAATACATTCAACAAATAAAATCAAATTATTTGACGAACTAATTTTTAAATTCAAATAATCACTTTTTTTTTTATAAAACTCATGTTAGAATATTTTAGAAAGAGTCAATTTTATAACTTTTGAAGAATTTTCTACTGAATTTTATGTGTTAAATAAATAAGTGTATCGTAAAATGTGTTGTAAGAAAACCCGTACAAATTCAATTTTGTTACATTGAGTCTTCTTGATAAACGGTTATTATAGAATAGAGTTTTGTGGTCTATGTTTCTCGTGTGATTTTGATATTATTAAGTTGATAGCTTTAGTAAATTATTCGATTATCATTATTATTGTTTTAAAATTTTTATAATCTCAACATTAAATGGAATATTTAACAATCATGTACATTAATTGTACAAGTATAACGATAAATTCATATATTTTTCATTTTTTGTGATAACTGTGTTGTCTTATCAGAGGACTATAATCAATTGGAAAATAATATTTTTGAAATGAACACGAAACATAAAATTATTATTGTTTAATTATTAAAACTATAGATTGTCAAATTTAACCTACTGACTTTGCAAAAACAACAACATAATACACAAGTAAACAAACGAAAACTGAATAGAATTCCAGTTTATACAATGATTACTCACTTCCTTTTTCCGACTACTCATTGTAATGGATCGTATTCGGGTTCTTTTCCCCTCTGGTAACCTTTCATTGATAACACTGATCTCAATAATAAACGCCGAGTGATTGATGACGAACAATACAACTTAAGCTTTCAGTGTTCAATTCAAACGTAAACAGTGACAATACGTACGTGTATTTGATAATATTATTGTTATTTATCGTTTTATCTTCTCGACATTCTCATCGACTAAACGATAATTATTTTAATAATAATAATAATAATAGTATTTTCCATGCGGTGGTGTTCGATTATTTTTTCGTAACCACGACGTGAGTTACTCATTAGATGGTATAACGCACGTGCTTGCCAACACTCACCACGGGGAGAATCTTCGGTTCAAGTGCTTACGATGAAAAACATATACGACAATAGTAGCGATAGATTTATTTTTACACTGTACAAGTCACGACCAACGAGCGTAAATCCTAAGACGTCTATTCGCCCAACCCCCCGAGTGCCACCTGTTGCAGCAGGGGCGATTAAAGGGCGACGTAATCCGTGTGGCCGGTGCACAACGGCGGTGGTGGTGGCGGCGGTATGTCGTCCGAGGACGAGCCGCCACTGCTGGACACAAGCGACGACAGATTGGTGCAGCTACCCGTAACTGTGATCCGCGGGCCCATGTTGTCGTAGTGCGGCGCCACCGACTTGACGGATGGACGGTGATGCTGCAACTGGTGCTGCTGATGGTTCTTCTGGTGCTGCTGATGCTGGTGGTGGCCGTTGTCCTTCAACCGGTTCTTGCGCGGCACCGTAGCGTAGTACGATGACTGACCGGGCCCAACGAGCACCTCGCGATGACGGGCGCCCATAGCCGGCCCCCCGTTTGTGCCGGTGGCCACGCTCACGTTCTGCTTCTGCCGGTGTTGCATGTCCAACAGGTCCGGATATCGAGACTCCGGGTCCGGCGGCTCTTGGCTCACAGACACCGAGATGAATATATTGCCGTAGCCACTGACCGATGGCAGGATGCTGGTGGAGAACTCGGGTGGCGGTGGGTACACGGACACGCCCGAGTTGCAATGGTCGTGGCTCTCGATGGTGATGTGCACGGGCTGCTGGTCGCACACGGCCGCCAGTGGAATGTTGTGCAACGACTGTTCCACCAGCTCCAGGTCGTGGCCGGACGACGAGCCACCACTGCCACTGCCACTACCACCACCGTCGCCGTGCGCCTCGGCACCGCCACCCAGCATCTCGCAGCTTCCCGCTTGCGTGGTGGATATGCTGGCGTCCAGCAACCGTTTGTCTGCGTCACTGAAGCTCGTGCTACCCTTGAACGCAGCCTTGCCAGCGCGTTGCCCGCGGGATGACTTGCGCACGTGGCACACGCAGCACGCGAGCCCGGCGACGAACAGCAGTGCAGCCACACTCGCGGCCGCGCACACCATCATCACGTACACGGACCGCGACTTGCTGAGCGTCGTGGCCACCGCGACCTCAGGTAGTGCGAGCGTTACGTTGGCGGTCGCGCGGCCGCGCGAGTTGCTCGCCTCGCACGTGTACTCACCGGCCACCACATCCGAGACGTTGAACACGGTGAGCGCAGTCCACGTGCGGCCACCATTACCACCGCCGTCGCCGCTGTCCAGCCACGTGCGATTTTCATCCATGCGGTCCGTGTAGTTGTCCACGCCGTGTCCGTTGAAGTACCAGCTGACCTCGGGCTCCGGGTCACCGGTCACCTTGCACGTGAACGACACGTTGCTGCCCGCGTCCTCGAGCACGTTGTCCCGGTCAATGCGCACGGTGGGTGGGCATGCGAACTCGTCCGGCTGTACGTTCTCCCACCGGCTGCCAGACAGCTCGACCGGCTCAGTGCACGACAGGGGGTGCGAGTATAGGTTGGACGTGACCAGCCAGTTGCGGAAGCTGCGCAGCCGGCAGTCGCACACCCACGGGTTTCCGTCCAGCGACAGCGTCTTCAGCTTGGCCACCGATAGGAACACGGTCTCGGAGAGCTGCTTCAGCAGGTTCCCGTTCAGGTTAAGCGACTCGAGCGCGGATAAGTGCAGAAACGCGTCCCGGTGCACGCGCTTGATCTGGCAGTGCTGCAGCTCGAGCGTGCGCAAGTGCTGCAGCACCGGGAACTGCGCCTCTCCCACTTCCGTCAGCGGGTTGCCGTTCAGGTAGAGCACGCGCAGACGCTCATTGCCATGGAATGTCTTTGGGTGCAGCGACCCGATCAGGTTGTCGCTCAGGTCCAGTTCGACCAGGATCTTAAGCTCGCGGAAAGCGTCCCGGTGCACATCGTGCAACCCACACCCGCGCATGAAAACCCGCTGCAGGTTGAGCAGCCCGACCCGCTTGAACGCTTCCGCCGGCAGCACGCGTATGCTGTTCGCGGACAGATCAAGCACCTGCATGTCGCCGTCCAGCTGCGTCGGCACGTCCGTCAGCTCGGCGTCCTTGCACAACGCCGTCTTCTTGCCCGAACTCCACTTGCATTGGCACGGGCTCGGACAGTCCGCCCAATCCGCGAACGCCAAGCCGCCGTAACAACACACCAACACCATTACGATCAGCTGCACTGGCCGGCCACCGCGCATCGTCCACGCATTTGGTCATCTTGCGTTCAGCACGTGCCGCCACATAGGTGTAGTCGTCCTGCAACAGTAAAACACCGGTCGTCGTGTTATTATTTCGTCCAAAAGCACTCCGGTACCGCGCGCGTAATTTTGTCCACTATTTTTTTTTTCGATTTTGCCCCGCCCACCGTTAGGAAAGTGGACGAAACCCTTCTAACTCGTAATGTTATAACACAATATTAAAATTTGTGAAATCGCAACTGGTCTTAATAGGTTTTTGACAAAATACGTTTAATATTGATATTGAATCGTTTCATTTCATATGTGTGTACTAATGTTATTATTGTTTCACTAAACATTATTAGTGACCAGTTTATGTCTTACTAGCAGACCTACACTTAACAATAATGTGCCAACTGTAAACAGAGCATCTAATGGATAAGTTTGATCAATTTATAATATTATTCGGTATTTGCTACCTATTTAATTAGGTCTTAATTACTGCAATTTATAGTTATTTGATATATCTTTTTTTATATTTTTTATTTTATGTTTGTTAATATGTCAAGTTAGACATTTAACATCGGTTTATAGGAGAAGGGGGGGACCTGGTACTGTTGTGACGACGTCTGAATCACACCGTCACCGAACCTTTCTACCCAGTGTGCACTGGATGTTTCAACACATCCCAGAAACAAACATATTACGTAGTACAATCAACGTAACTTTTTAATATGTATACAATGTATCTATTCTAAATAAAACAAACATTTAACACTCATCCCGGCGATATAACTAGGCATTATATGATAGTACAGACCTACAATGTTATAAATTATATGTCACAGGGTTGTTATATTATTGTGATTTGTAATACGTACCAGCAAAATAATATCGATGTTTCAGTTTTTCACAAAAAAAAAAAATATACTATTTTAAAATAAATAGTTTTGCACTCTATAAAAATATACTCTATTGGTTTTACCCATAAGCTAATATATTTAAATATACAAGGGGTATCAAATCAATTATTTATAAGAGTAATGTCCGTATGCATACTATTTGATGTGTCACGTCATAAGACAGTTTTAGACTACATGTCTTATATTGATTAAAAAATAAAAGTAACTAAACTTAGTTAAAAATCAGTTACTTATTTTGTCATACATAATGTGATCGTATGGTAGTAAAGACAGAAAACCATTGATTTCCATTCACTTTAAATATCGTCCATTATAAACCTAATGTCAATATGATTAGGATAGCCGATAGGTAGTAACGCGTAGGATTTAGAGACCCGTTTAGGTAGATATGTCGGTGTTCGGAGTTCGATACCCTCATACGAGTTGTGGTATTTTATTATAATTGTTTTCCAATTATTAGTAGGTTTCATTGTTTAAATATGACGTTCTAACTATGTTTACAATGTAACCCAAATATAACTTTTTGTTATAAACATTATATTGCAGTTGCAGGTATGTTAGAAATTAACAGATTTAAAACGTTGATGATTAGGTTGCAAACACCGGACATTAGCAGTATCAGGGACATCACATTAACGCAAATTCAACATTCAAATTAATGTTGCATATTATATGGAAACATACCTTGTATGTTTATAGTACACATTATTGCACAGGGGGTATTTTTCCCGTTCTCGCACACTTGCATCGTTTTTACGGTAGTTTTTCGGCTGCACCGATTACTATTTTTTTTCCTTTTCCTTATTATTTTAATTCTATCTATAATTTAATTTTAATTTTACTAATCTAGTTACTCGTCTTTGAAGGCACAAGTGTTACTGAAAACCAATATCAATTCGCGGTGTACGTTTAATTTTTTTTTTTTTTATCACATTGTGTTTTGTTGTGCTGCCAACCCTGGATGCGATTCCCATCACAATGTAATATTTTATGTATATTGGTACGGCCTACACATTGGTATATAAAGTGCCATTTCTTCATTATAACGATTAATAACATATCTGTTTCCATTTTTATTTCATGTGTTGTGATATTATGCGTCGTGTGACCATTACCAGTTTTGAGGTTAGATGATGGAGTTTAAACCCACGGGAAGTTATGGAGCTAGACCTTCCTTCGCCGTTTGCCTTGTTGGTTCGTTATTATTATTGGAACGATTTTTACTTCTTAACATAGTCATTGAATGATAGTTTAAAAAATAAATGATCAACACGTTATGAAGTGATACACACAATATTTCTAACATAATAATATATAATTTCGCAACCTCTACTAATTCCCTCCTCCCGATACATATAACTGTCACTGAATACATCAAAAAGGATTGGAATGAAAATTAAATTAACGCGACTACGCGTTTCAATTTCATTTTGTGTATTTTATAAATATAATACTATATTTTCATTGCATCCGACGGTTCAATTACGTAGTTTTCCGATCCCGTTTAGAATATAATTTAATGAACAACATAACATATTGCTTTATAAGTTTCTACAGATTTACTTTTAGACCGTTTTAACGTTTGGAAATATGAAGTAGGATGAAAATATTGTCGATGGTTATGGGTGGCCAAGAATAAATTAACTTTTCGTTTGAGCGGGCGGCAATGAACTCCAATAAGCGTTGCACCCCGCAGAGTACAACGATTGAAATCAGCTGTCACTCCGATTGCTTTATTTCCATTGTAATTTTGAGTACACAACGAAAAAAAAAGAAAAAAATCAAAATATATGTCGTAACAGTTATACACATTTTACTTTTATAATTGTAAATCTGAATTTACGATCATTATTTCACAGGTAGAAAATATTAAGTTTTTCCTTTATAAATTGTATTTTCTGATTATTTCTGTGAAAAAACTAGATATAGTTTTAATTATTTTACTCGTTTCAGTAGCATAGTTGGATCTTAATAAAAGGAGTGGAATAATTGTAATACACTACTTAAATATATCACATATCGCAAAGAATTTTCTCTTCGCGAAAAAAGTCAAGAGTAGTTGTTTTTTTATGATTAATTTTTTTTTTTTTTTGAAACGTTTTGCGATTTTTTGGTAAAAAATAGGTTAAAATATAAAATAGATAAACACATATAAATATAAAAATCGAATCTTTGTCATGCATGTTTTTGAAACCACTTATCTGATTATCTTGATTTTTTTTTTTTTATGAAAGAGATGCATCGTGGAGATGATTTAAGTTTAATTTCAATTTTATGAGTTAATTGAGTAATTATTTATTTATAATTGTTTGTTTTTCAATACTCTGCGGCACAGCTCGGCAAAAAAAAATCCAGGTGTATACTCTCCCACAGTCTGGCGTCCCCACTCTCTGCCAGCTACCATCGCCACTGAAGCCGCCATATCTTTACATAATATAAGTTGTATGGTGATTGGTAAAGTTCTTTTCATTATGCATAAATTTAATCCGATAAAAAACACGTTTTTATATGCGTATGGTATAATAGGAAATATGAATTCAAAATGTAACTACTCTCGTGCGTTAAAATAGTCAAAAGAACCCTGAAGGTTTTTGCTGTTTATGAGATAATGTTTTTTTTTTTTAAATACATTGCAGATCTGATCCACTTAAATCATTAAAAAGTCTCTTAAATTGTTTTTATCAAGATTCAAGACATTTTTTTACATGATTCGCATGTTTAATTCGGTTTTTCAAATGACATCGTTTGGTGCAACAAAAATTCATGAAAACTTTGTACCGACATTTAAAGTTCAAGGTGAAGTTTACCATTGGCTGGTTCTTTATGACCCAGTTATCCAGAAGAATCAAAGTTTGTTCACATATATTTCATGGGCGATTCAGAAAATGTAGGAAAAAGGCGTTTAACTATATCTCCAAATACTGAAAAATAAATATTATATGATATCCAAAAAAACGATTATAATTTTTTTTTATTTGTCTAAAGTAACCTAACCTAAAGATAAGCATTTATTTTCAAGGATAAAACCCACTCAGGTCTCATCATAGCTACGTGTTTGAGAGCATAAGCGAGTTTAAACAATTGCCAAAAAATTATATGAATAAATATATTATACATACTCGTATGCACAGTTGAAGTAATGAATATTTTATAAACAATAAGTTAGAAGAATAACTAAAAAGAAAATGTTTTATACATTGTCTTAACTGATATGTATTGAAGCAGTAGTTTGTAAGCTGAATTTACTATCACGGGTATAATTACTATATTATTTTATTACCTATAGGCTATACTATAGCCGCTATAAGCTTTAACCGTGATTAAAACATCACCAATAAAAAATTACAAGAAGGGTCGGTTTCACATACCATACCTCCCCTAAACTAAACAACTGACTTTTATAATAATAAAAATAATGAGTATAATTTTTTTGAGTTTATACAATTTTAATTATATTAATTTAATTAACTGTAAATGTTTCAAAGAAGATTTTTATAATATTTTAATATTGATTTATTGTATCATTTTTAAATATAATTACTAATTACCTGCATTATAATAATTGTTGGTGATTAGTTGAATCATTCAATAATATTGTCAGTTGAATTGTTTTTCATTTACTATAAATCATCTATATTTTTTCATCATTTCAACAGTTGTAATGTTTTAATATTATTATTTCAACTCTACCACATAAAAAAATTAGTATTTATCTAAATATTAACTACTATCCTAAAATAAATATAAAAGTTTTACGTGGATCAATTTATGACCAATATTATTATGTATTAAAGTACAGTATATAAGACTTTTATACGTGAGGCTAAATTTATAAAATTCCAATAAATGTATAAAATAATATATATTAATAATAAAATTGTATGTTTCCAAAAATGAAAAATGTAACATTTTTAACGGAAAAAAAACCATTATTTCCACTTTAGTAGAGTATATGAAAAAAAACTCAGATTTCCCTACAGAATTGGAAGAATAGTAATTTTTTTATGATGTTTTATTTGTGAGTTTATCAAAAAACAGAACAAGACCAAAGCAAACCCCGTTTATTTTAAAATAGGCTGGACATTTTATTTTACTATTGTTTTGGTGTGACCGCGTTCTCTTCTTATTTTTCTCGTTTTTTCCCAAATATTAGTAC